TGTCCCGATATATTGGGTACGATTTCATCACGTCGAAGAAGGATGCGCTCGCAGTGCTGCTTCAAACGTGTGTTCGGGAAGATGCGGACTTTTGCCACTCACGCGCGATTCTTCTTCTTCTCCTCCTCCTCCTCATCATCCTGGGTTTCTGGGTTTCTGGGTTAGCGACAGGTCGTACAAGCACAACCTGCCACAGCAGAAACATGGAGATAGGGCACCTAGTGTCAGCTGTCTTGCCTACCCACCGACATCCAGGGGTGCACGAAAACAGTCCCCCAGATCGCGGTTGGGCAGGAAGGGCAGCTAACTACTAGTGTCCTGTCCAGCGGGGTTCCTCTCCTGGCCAGCAGTGGCTGTCTCGAACCTTCTCGCCACGAGCTCACGGCCAGACTGCGGGAGCTCGAGTGGCGGTCCAAGCTGGCAGCCCGTCCCAGGGAGGTACCCACGCCCGAATTTCCTGCCTTCCGAACAGGCCATCCCTCCTGCTCCTCTTCCTCCTTGCTTCTTGCTCCTTGCCCTCCTTCTTTCCTCCTCCTTCGCAACTCACCTCAACTCAGGGCGTCCCAAGTGAGGCGTCGTTGGCGCCAACCTCCGGGGCCAGGAAAGGGCAGTCTGCAATGTTTCTGACATTGGGGTGCCCAGCAGTGGGCCACTGCCCTGCGTGTGTGCTCCGCTCCTCGAAGGTTTGGCCTGGCAGGTGTCAGACTTTTTTCAGGGGCCTTGGAGAAAACGCTACCCCTCCGTCATGAGTGGCCAGCGCTGGAAGAGGTTCTTTGATTTGAGGAGGAGGAGGATGAGGAGGAGGAAGAGGAGGAGGAGGAGGAGGAGGAGGAGGAGCAGGAGGAGCAGGAGGAGGAGGAGGAGGAGGAGGAGGAGGAGGAGAAGGAGGAGGAGGAGGCGGAGGCGGAGGCGAAGGAGAAGGAGGCGGCGGAGGGCGACCCTCCTGCTCCTCTTGCTCCTGCTTCTGCTTCTGCTCCTGCTCCTGATCCTCCCTCTTCCCTCCTCCCGCCTCCCTCCATCCTTTTTTTCTCCTCCCTCTCTCCCTCCTCCCCCTTCCCTGCTCCTCCTCCTCCTCCTTTCTCCTCCCTCTCTTCCTCCTCCTCCTCCTTCCCTGCTCCTCTTCCTCCTTTTTCCCTCCTCCGCCTCCTCCTCTTCTTTCTCCTCCTCACTCCTGATCCCTTCACTCTCTTCGCGCATGGTTACTTTGACAGTGCCCGTCAACGCCAGTGAAAGATCCTGCCATCGACACTGCAGGGCTTCCCTGCAACCTCGTACAGAGAGGCCTCGCTAGAGCCACCGAGGATGAGTCTGAATTGGCGTGGCTATGGATGATGATGTTGATGACGATGATGATGACGATGACGATGACGATGGCGATGGCGATGGCGATGGCGATTATGCTGATGGTGCTGGTGGTGACGATACTGATGATTGTGATGATGCTGTGGATGACGATGATGATGCTAATTACGATGCTGCTGCTTCTGATGCTGATGCAGATGCTGATGCTGTTGCTGATGATGATGATTCTGATGATGCTGATGATGATGATGACGATGGTGATGGTGACGGTGATGAGGATACTGCTGATGCTGATTTTGCTGATGATGCTGATGATGATGCTGCTATGGTTGTTGTTGTTGTTGATGGTGATGACGCTGATGATGCTGATATTGATGCTGATGATGATGAGGATGATGATGGTGGTGGTGGTGATGATGATGATGGTGCCGTTGCTGATGCTGATGCCGCTGATGCTGATGAAGATGATGCTGCTACTGATCATGATGATAATGATGACGATGATTACAATGATCATGCTGATGATGTTGTTAATGCTGATGGCGACGATCATGCTGACGGTTATGCTGATTCTGCTGTTGACGTTTTCGATAATGATAAGGATGATGATGTTGGTAATGATGATACTGTTGCTGCTGATTCTGAAGATGATGATGCTAATGAACATGACGATGATACTGATGATGATGCTGATGCTGATGATGCAACTTATGCTGATGGTGACGATGCTGATGATGATGATACTGTTGCTGATGCTGACGATGCTTATGCTGCTGACGCTGCTGCTGATGATGCTTATGATGCTGATGATGCTGCTGATGCAGATGATGATGCTGATGATGATGCTGATGATGCCGCTGCTGATGTTGATGATGCGGATTCTGATGATGATGATGATGATGATGTTGATGCTGATGATGATGATGATGCTGATGCTGCGGTTGCTGTTGCTGCTGCTGGTGATGATTATGATGATGCTGCTGCTGATGCTGATGCTGCTGATGATGATGACGTTGACGCTGATGCTGATGCTGATGCTGCTGATGATGATGCTACTGTTGAGGATGGTGATGATGACGACGATGATGATGATGCTGATGATGCTGCTGCTGATGATGAGGGTGATAATGATGACAAACATTATGATAACGGTGATGATGCTGCTGCTGATGACGATACTGATGACGCTGATGAATAT